AGGAAAAGTATTAACCTATTTTTTTTAAGATTTATTTTTATTTATTTGAAAGAGTTACAGAGAGAGGTCGAGACAGAGAGAGAGAGAGGTCGTCCATCTGCTGGTTTACTCCCCAAATGGCCACAACTGCCAGAGCTTCTTCTGGGTCTCCCATTCCAATGCATTGGGCCATCTTCCACTGCTTTCCCAAGCCATACCAGAGAGTTGGATTGGAAATAGAGCAACCAGGACTCGAACTGGTGCTGCAGGCCATGGCTTTAACCCCCTGTGCCACAGCGCTGGCCCCAACTCATTTTCTGCTATTACTGTGTGAGCCCTAACTGCTTCTCATTTCTCTTGTTCCTGATATATTAGAAGCTTTTAATTCATGGCTCAGGAGCTCTCCTTTTATACACTGTCTTCCCTAAGAGAGATTATTTTCCTTCCAAACATTTTTAAACCACCAAATGAAAATGATGATGCTTTCGATAAATTTACCTGGGTTTGGTTTTTGTTTTTGTTTTAAACATTTATTTATTTGAAAGGCAGAGTTACAGAGAGGGAGAGGCAGAGAGAGAAGTCTTCCATCCACTGGTTCACTCCCCAAATGGTCTCAACTGCCAGAGCTGTGTCAGTCCAAAGTCAGGAGCCAGGATCCTCCTCCAGGTCTCCCACATGGGTGCAGGGGCCCAAGTACTTGGGCCATCTTCCACTACTTTTCCAGGCCCATTAGCAGGGAGCTGGATGGAGCCACCTATATGGAATGCCAGCACTGCAGGTGGCGGCTTTACCTGTTATGCCACAGTGCTGACAGCTACCTGGGTTTGTTTAAAGTAGTTTTAGGTAGAACAATAATTTTTTTGTACTTTCAAGGGAAAAAGAATTGATTGCTGGCTCCGCGGTTCAATAGGCTAATCCTCTGCCTGCAGCACCGGCACACCGGGTTCTAGTCCCGGTCGGGGCGCCGGATTCTGTCCCGGTTGCCCCTCTTCCAGGCCAGCTCTCTGCTGTGGCCCGGGAGTGCAGTGGAGGATGGCCCAAGTGCTTGGGCCCTGCACCCCATGGGAGACCAGGAGAAGCACCTGGCTCCTGCCTTCGGATCAGCGCGGTGCGCTGGCTGCAGCAGCCATTGAGGGGTGAACCAATGGAAAAAAGGAAGACCTTTCTCTCTGTCTCTCTCTCTCACTGTCCACTCTGCCTGTGGAAAAAAAAAAAAAAGAATAAACAGAAGGATGTGCTATTATCTGTTGATGATCCCACAGACAATGAAAACAAATTATTTGTTGATGGTTGCCATCTCTAAACAATATAATCATATTTGTATGCTTTAAAATATAATATTTTTAATCATGTGATTTAATATATTAGGTTGAATCATGAGATTGCTTATCTTCAACAGTTTTGACCTGCAAAATGGCCAGTTTTATGTACTTTTAATCTAATGTGTGGTGTGGTTTGAGTTTCTTAAACTTGGTTAGAAATTTTTTTTTAGATTTATTTATTTTATTTGGAATACTGAGTTAGAGAGGCAGAGGCAGAGAGAGAGAGGTCTTCCATACGCTGGTTCACTCCCCAAATGGCCACAATGGCTGGAGCTGTGCCAATCCGAAGCCAAGAGCCTGGAGCTTCTTCTAGGTCTCCCAAGTGGGTACAGGGGCCCAAGGACTTGGGCCATCTTCCACTGTTTTCCCAGCTGTATCAGAGAGCTGGATTGGAAGTGGAGCAGCTGGGACTCAAACAAAGGCCAAATGGGATGCCGGCACTGCAGGTGGCAGCTTTTCTCACTATGCCACAGCACCGGCCCCAATTTTAAAATTTACCTTTGTAGTAGCTACCTTATAAATAAACAATTAAATATTGAGTACACATCCCTTAATCTGAAATGTCCTTCCTAAAATAATGTGCAATTAGATGAATTTTGAATGACATAGGAATACTTTGTGATATTTAGTGAAAGGGTACTATTGCTATTATGACAAAACTACGTTATTTTTCCCCCAAAAGAAATCTTTTATGAGTAAAATTTCATAAATACGTATTTAGGAAAATAATTATTCTTCCCACCATAACTGCCCTCCCACCCCCTCCTCCTCCTTTCTCTCCCATTCCCAGTCCCATTCTCCATTCAGATTTCCTTTCAGTTAACTTTATACACAGAAGACCAACTCTATACTAAGTCAATATGTCAACAATTTGCACACACACAGACACACACACACAAAGCTGTTTGAGAACAAGTTTTATAGTTAATTCTCATAATACAACTCATTGAGGATAGAAGTCCTGCATGGGAAGTAAGTGCACAGTGACTCCTGTTGTTAATTTAACAATTAACACTCTTAAGTATGACATCAGTGATCACCCAAGGCTCTTGTCCTGAGCTGCCTAGGCTATGGAAGCCTTTTGAATCCACAATCTCCATCAATATTTAGAGAAGGCTATAAGCAAAGTCGAAGTTCTCTCCTCCATTCAGAGAAAAGTACATCCTTCTTTGATGGCCCCTTCTTTTCACTGGGGTCTCTCACAAAAATCCTTCATGTTGGACATTTTTTTGCCACAGTGTCTTGGCTTTCCACTCCTGAAATGGACAAAACTATGTTATAAAACAAGAAGGAAATTATAGGATATTACTATATTGTTAACTATTATTTGATAAATATTTGAAGAAATAAGATAATCACATTTATAAGTTTATAAATTTAAATCAGTCTTACTGAGGTAAACTTGCATAACAATAAAATTCTCTAATTTTCAATGAGTAGTTTGAGGTGTTTTGACAAATGTTTGTTTACTACCACCACAACCAAGATATAGAATATTTTTGTTTATATATTTGAAAAGCAAAGTGACAGAGGGAGAGAGAGACAGACAGTGATCTTCCATCAGCTGTTCACTTCCCAAATGTCCATTACAGACGAGTCTGGGCCAAGGCAAAACCAGGAGTCAGAAAGCCCATCTTGGTGTCCTGCCTGGGTGGCAAGGACCCAAGTACTTGAGCCATCATCTTCTGCCTTTTTAGCACATTATCAGGAAGTCAGATCAGTAGTGGAGTAGCCAGGACTTGAACCCATGCCCTGATACGGAATGCTGATGTTACAAGGAGTAGCCTCAGCACTGGTGCTGTTACAGAATTTTTTTGTCCTTCTAAAAAGTTCCCTAATGCCCCTGTTCAAACCCATTCCAAGCCTCCAGAGTCTACTGATATTCTCTTTCTTCTGACACTATTTATTTGAAAATAAAAGTTACAGAGAGGAAGGTAGAGACAGAGAGATATATTCCATCTGCGATTTCACTCGCAAAATGGCCACAATAGTCATGTTTGCATCATGCTGAAGCTAGGAGCTTCATCCTATGTGCGTAGCATGAGCCCAAACACTTGGGCCATTCTCTGTTACTTTTCTCAGGCCATTAGCAGGGAGCTGGATGGGTAGCGGAGCAGCCAGCACACAAAGCAGCGCCCATATTGGATGCCTACAATGCAGGTGGCAGCTTCACTTGCTACACCACAGTGCTGGCCCCTACTGTATACTTTGTGTCACAGTAATTTTGGCTGTTTGAAACTTTTCATGTAAATGGGAATCATACAAAATGCAGTTTTTTCTGTTGGTTTCTTGCATGTAGTATATACGTGCAGTGTCTGTATCACTTGTCAGGTTTCTTTCGTTGTTGTTGCTAAATAGTATACCATTTCACAGATACACCAAAATCTGTTAATCTGTTGATGGACTTTGGGCCATTTCCAGGTTTTGCCTTGAATGAATAAAAATACTATGAACCTTTACATACAAGTCTTTGTTTTCTTCTATTCTGATGTATGTATTTGAAAGGCAGAGACAGAGAGAGCTTCCATCCACTGGGTCAGGGTGAAGCCAGGAGCCAGGAACTCAAACAGGGTCTCATGTGGGAGGCAGGGACTCAACAACTTGAACCATCTTCTGTTGCCACCCAGGGTGCACATAAGTCAGAAGCTAGTTTTCCTGTTTAGAGCAAATACCTCAGACTGGGTCCTGAGCCCTATGGCAAGTATGTATTTAACTTTGCAATAAGTCACCAGTTTTTCCAAGTGACTGTACTACATGTTTTATATTTCCACCAGCAATGTCTGAGCATTTCAGTTGATGCCAGTTTGTGCTGGCATGCTTAAATTTTTTTTCTAATACGTATATGGTGACATTATGATTCTAATTTGCATTCCCCCAATGACTAATGTTGCAGAGCACCATTTCATGTGCTTATTGGTCCTTATTCCTTTTTATTGGTTTATTGTTATTACTAGGTTGTAGGAGTTTTTTGTTCTGTTTTGTTTGTTTTTAAGGTTTACTTATTTATCTGAAAGTCAAGAGTGACAGAGAGAAAGAAAGACATCTTCCATCTGCTGGTTCGCTCCCTAAACAGCTCCAACAGCCAGAGCAGGGCCAGGCCGTAGCAGAGAGCTGGATTAGAAGTGGAGCAGCCGGTATTCTAATCGGTGCCCATATGGGATGCTGGTGCTGGAGGCCCGGCTGCTGTGCCAAAGTGCCAGCCCCTGGGATTTTTTTTCCATCACTAGATTTCAGTCTTGGTCTAACTATATAACATATAATTGTTATTGTCCCTTGTTAACTTTTTTTTTTAAAGATTTATTTATTTGTTTGAAATTCAGAGAGAGAGAGTCTTCCATCCGCTGGTTCACTCTCCAGTTGGCCTTAACAGCCAGAGATGCGCCCATCTGAAGGCAGGAGCCAGCAGCTTCTTCAGGTCTCCCACATAGGTGCAGTGGCCCAAGCACTTGGGCCAACTTCTGCTTTCCCAGGCCACAGCAGAGAGCTGGAATGGAAGTGGAGCAACTGGGACTTGAATCGGTGCCCATATGGGATGCCGGCACTGCGGGCGGTGGCCTTACCCACTGCGCCATAGCACCAGCCCTATCCCTTGTAACTTAACTCAATGTTTGTTCGCCATGTTCTCATCTTGTTCGCTTGAGTGATATTGGTTGGAAAGTGTGACCGTCTAAGCAGTATCTGCTTGTCTGGTTTTGCTAGGTGGTACAGCTGCATGCTGGGGAAGAAGTGTAGCCTGGCTCCTCTGAAGGAAGAGCTCCGCGTACAGGGGGTAAGGCTTTGTCATGACCATTCCAGAGTCTTTAGGAGTGTGCCTGCGCAGAGCTCCTTTATACTTAACACTCTGAATGAGTTTTATGTTTTGCTTTTGGCTTTTTAAAAATTCTGTAATTTATTTATGTGTTAAATTTTTATTTATTTGAGATGCAGAAAGAGAGCTCACATACTGTGGTTTACACACACACACACACACACACACAAATGCCTGCAACAACTGGGACTAGGCCGAGGTCTAAGCTGAAAGCCAGGAACAGTCTAGGTCTTCCATGTGGAGAGCTGGAATCCAACTATTTGAGTCATCATTGTTGCCTCCCAGGGTCTGCAGTAGCAGGAAACTGTGGAGTCAGTAGTCAGAGGAGAGTATTGAACCCAGGTACTCTAATGTGGGACACTATTGATGTCTTAATTATAAGGCTAAATTATACTCTAATGTAATTTAAGAAAAAAAAGTCACTTTTTATAGATATTCAACAAGGCCTTCTCTGCAGTTATAGCAGAGAAGGGTTAGGATGTCTTATACATCTGACTCCTTAATACATACCAAAACTAAAGGCAAGGTAGGTCAAGGACTTGTTCTGACCAATTAGCTGATGAAAGACAGAATCAGGGGCAGACATTTGGTGCGGCATTTAAGACACCGGTGAGGATGCCTGCATCTCCTGTGGGAGCGCGTGCTGGGAGGTGGCACTTGTTGGTGGCTCAGATGCTTAGGTTCCTGCCACCCTTGTGGGAGTTCCAGTCTACTGGCTTCAGACTGGTCCAGTCATGGCTGTTGCAGACATTTGGGGAGTGAACCAGTGTACAGAAGATTCCTGTCTGTGTCTGTCTACCTTTCAGATAATTAAAAGCAACCCCTGCCAAAACATACATACACACACGCACACACACACACAGGAGCCAGAATGCAACCTTAGGCTAGTATGCTTCCCACTAGTGTGATGGTCTATATGAGTACAGCTCTTTGCTTCCATTTAGAAAAGTAGGTGAAGAATAAAAACTCCCCTTGCCAGTTTCTCTCTTGTTATGGTATGTGGCATGTGTGTGATGATATTTCTCTGTTTAAAAAATATTTATTTATTTTTATTTTTTATATATTTTTTTAGATTGAGAGAGACATCTTCTATCTACTGGTTCACTCCCTAAATGCCTGCAACAACCAGGGACAGGCCAGGATGAACCCAGGAGCAGAGATTCCATCTGGGTTTCCCATGTGGGTGACAGGAGCTCAAGCACTTGAGCCACTACCTGCTGCTTCCCAGGATGCACAAGCAAGAAGCTGAATCAGAAGCAGAGTAGCTGGGACTTGAACTAGCACTCTGATATGGGATGCAGGTGTTCCAAACAAGGTCTCAGCCCATGGTGCTACAATGCCTGTCTCTAGTAGGATTATTTTTTTTTCAACAAAGAGTGTCAGGTATGGAGTCAGTGGTAGAAACTAGGTTCATCATCTCTGATTTCTTTTGACATTCTACCATTCCTGTTTTCTGCATGATGCCATTTCTTTAGTTAAGTTGTAAAAGCTACAAGGATATGCATTTGGCATAGTGTTTAAGATGCCTGCCTCCTGTGTTGGAGTGCCTGGTTTGAGTCCTAGCTACTCTGCTTTTGATTTCAGCTTCCTGATAATGTGCACCCTTGGAGACAGAAAGTGATGGTTCAGGTACTTTGGTCCCTGCAACCACATGGGAGACCCTGATTGAGTTTCAGGGTCCTGCTTTTGGCCTGGCCCAGCCTTGACTGTTGTGGACACCAGGGGACTGAACTCCTTGAACTCCTAGGTGGAAGATCTCTCTACTTTGTCTGCCTTGCAAGTAAAATGAAAGTAAATCAATAAAATTGTTTTTTAAAAAATTGAAAAGCTACATAGTAATTCCTTTTTGTTTCCTAAAATCTGATTGTCTTTCGTAAAAAAAAAAAAAAGTTATGCATTGTTTTATGAATGATTCCCTGAAGAACTCTATTTTGGGTGTTTTTGTATACATGAATCTTTTTTTACAGATCTGTAAAATTCTCTTTAATGTTTTATGGGGGGAAAACATGAATATGTAATTTTGTTGATAGATAATTTATTCATTGGTTATTAAATGGCAACTGTATAATTGGTTTTGGATAAATATTTTATTAACTGATGAAAAAGAAGGACCAGTAGATAATTTTTTTTTGACAGGCAAAGTTAGACAGTGAGAGAGAGAGACAGAAAGGTCTTCCTTTTCCGTTGGTTCACCCCTGAAATGGCCGCTACAGCCGGATCTACACCGGTCCAAAGCCAGGAGCCAGGTGCTTCCTCCTGGTCTCCCATGCGGGTGCAGGGCCCAAGCACTTGGGCCATCCTCCACTGCACTCCCTGGCCACAGTAGAGAGCTGGACTGGAAGAGGGGCAACCGGGACAGAACCGGCGCCCCAACCGGGACTAGAACCCTGAGGTGCCAGCGCCATAGGCAGAGGATTAGCCTAGTGAGCCGCGCGCCAGCCCGGACCAGTAGATAATTTAATATGAGGCAGCAGCCAGGCACATATTGGTAGAATGACTTCATTTTAATGAGATGCTGTGTTTGTCAATTGTAGGTTCCCAAAGTCACCTACACCGAATTCTGTCAAGGTCGGACAATGCGATGGGCTTTAGCTTGGAGTTTTTATGATGATGTAACAGTACCAGTAAGTAGATACCTTACTTGGGCTTCTCCAGCTGCTACCTTAGAGGAGGTTTCAGTAGGTCATGAATGAACTAAATCGATACTGTTCTGTTTCCCTGAAATGTGCCCCCAAATAAACAGGACACGGTTCTGGAAAAGTGACTGTGGTGACCGGGGAGCCTTTATGAAATGGGTTTGGTGATTTTTCTCAGCATGTATAGATGCCTCAGAAGTACATTTTTAATTTATTTTTCTAAAAGATTTATTTTATTTATTTGAAAGTGTTACAGAGAGAGAGAAAGACAGAGAAAGAGGTCTCCCATCCACTGGTTTACTCTCCAGATGGCCACAACGGCTGGAGCTGCGCTGATCCGAAGCCAGGAGCCGGGAGCTTCTTCCTGGTCTCCCACGTGGGTTCAGGAACCCAAGGACTTGGGCCATCCTCCACTGCTTTCCCAGGCTACAGCAGAGAGCTGGATTGGAAGAGGAGCAGCCGGACTAGAAACTAGAACTAGCCCATATGGGATGCCAGCACTTTAGGCCAGGGCTTTAACCTGCTGTGCCACAGTGGCGGCCCCAGAAGTACATTTTTAGAGATTAAAAATTCAAGTAACCTGATGACCATGCCTCAACAACTGAAGCTGCAGTCTGCTTCTTTTCTCTCTGTCTGCTGATTTGCCATTTGGGTTTGCATCCTTGATATGCCACACTTAGGGGTGATCCCAGTGAAGGGCCTGTATACCTTTGAGATTAGCACTTGAATGTTGACCATTTTTGAAGCTGAGTGACAGGCCATTATCTTTTTTCTGGTTGGTTGGTTTGTTTATTTTATTTTAAGATTTATTTATTTAGGTGAAAGGCCGAGTTACAGAGACAGAGAGGGAAAGATAGAAAGATCTTCCATCCACTGGTTCACTCCCAGAATGGCAACAATGGCTAGGGCTAGGCCAGGCCAAGATCAGGAGCCAGGAGCTTCTTCGAGGTCTCTCACACTAGTTGCCAGGGCCCAAGCACTTGGAACATCATCTGCTGCCTTCCCAGGCACACTAGCAGGAAACTGGATCAGAAGTGGAGCAGCCAAAAGTAGAACAGCTACTCTCATAGTGGATATTGGCATCTCGAGCTGAGGCTTAGTTCTTTGTACCATAATACTAGCCCCACAGGTTTATCTTTTATTTATTCATTTTTCCTTTTATTTATTTGAAAGGAAAGGTTAGAGAGAGAGATTGAACGAGAAAGAGAGATTTCTTTCATCCTCTGGTTTATTCCCTAAATAGCCTCAACTGCTAGAGTTGGACCAGGCCAAAACCAGGAGCCAGGAGCTTCTTCTGGGTCTCCCACATGTGTGCAAGGGCCCAAGCACTTGGGCCATCTTCTGCTGGTTTCCCAGGCACATTAATAGGGAGCTGAATTGGAAGTAGAACAGCCAGGACTTGAACTAGTGCCCTATAGGATGCCGGGTCTGTAGGTGACAGCTTACTGCACTACGCCATGATGTTGGCCCCACAAAATTATTTTTTTATTTTATTTTTTATTTTTATTTATTTGTTTGTTTGTTTGTTTGACTGGCAGAGTTAGACAGTGAGAGAGAGGGAGAGACAGAGAGAAAGGTCTTCCTTTTCCGTTGGTTCATCCCCCAAATGGCCGCTAATACTGGTGCGCTGTGGCCAGTGCACTGCGCCAATCTGAAACCAGGAGCCAGGTGCTTCCTCCTGGTCTCCCATGGGGTGCAGGGCCCAAGCACTTGGGCCATCCTCCACTGCCTTCCCGGGCCACAGCAGAGAGCTGGCCTGGAAGAGGAGCAACTGGGACAGAATCCGGCGCCCTGACCGGGACTAGAACCTGGAGTACCGGTGCCGCAGGCGGAGGATTAGCCTAGTGAGCCATGGTGCCGGCTCACAAAATTATTTTTTAATTTCACTTTTCCATAAATTTTTTAAAAAGATCTATTTATTTATTTATTTGAAAGGCATAGGGGCCAGCTGCTGCACCAGCATCCCAAATTGGCACTGGTTCGAGTTCTTGCTGCTCCTCTTCTGATCCAGATCTCTGCTATTGTCTGGGAAAGCAGTAGAAGATGGCCAAACTCCTTGGGCCCCTGCACCTGCGTGGGAGACCCAGAAGAAGCTCCTGGCTCCTGGCTTCGGATCACCTCAGGTCTGGCTGTTGCAGTTATTCAGGGAGTGAACCAATGGAATGGAAGCCCCCCCCCCCTCGTACCTCTGTTTTTCAAATAAATAAATCTTTAAAAAAGAAAGAAAGAAAGGAAGGAAGGAAGGAAGGAAGGAAGGAAGGAAGGAAGGAAGGAAGGAAGGAAGGAAGGAAGGACAGACAGACATAGTTACAGACAGGCGGAGAGAGAGAAATAGAAGTCTTCCATCTGCTGGTTCAGTCCCCAAATAGCCACAACAGCTGGAGCTGGTCCAGTCTGAAGCCAGGATCCAGAAGCTTCCTCTGGGTCTCCCACACAGGTGCAGGGGCCCAAGCACTTGGGCCATCCTCCACTGCTTCCTCAGGTCATAGCAGAGAGCCGGATCGGAAGGGAGCAGCCAGGTCTTGAATTGGCACCTATGGGATGCCGGAACTGCAGGCGACTGGTTTACCTGCTACACCAGCCCCATTCTGTAAATTTTTAAAAGCGCTCTTGCATGTTTAAAAAAACTTGCTTCTGAGCTGGCTGGCTGAATGCTTTCTTGCACTGTGCTGAGAGGTGGTGATAGAGTAGTGTGTGTCTGTTGTTAAGCTGCTTGTCCCCTGCAGCCTCCCACCTTAAGTTTGACACAGTTCTCAGCACGTGGTGTTTACAGAAGCCTGCTACCTCTCCTGCAGACCTTTCTCCAGCCCACACAGCAGGCTTGTTCCTGGGGCTTCTCTCCCGAGGTCTCTGAAGTCATAGTCAGTCTTGCTGTGTCTCTGAGTCCCTTTGCTCTTGTAGAGTAGACACGTGGAGCCACACCTCAGAGAAGCACAGTGGGACAGTTTGCCGTTGCCACCTTGCTTTTGAAAACATGAACGCCGATTTGAGGCAGAGCCTGTGCTACCTCTGCTCCGCAGCTGGGCGGGCTGTTGGGCTGAAGTTCAGCTCCCCAGGTCTGTTTAAGTGACCTTCCCCTAGACTCATCCCAGACATTGCATGAGGCTATCTAGGGGTTTGCGCTTGCAACAGTCACCAGTTAAGAAGGTGCGTTTTTGACACTCATACCATTGGAAGGATTATCCTTTCTGTTGTCTTCTGGAATACTGGGACCTTCCCACCGAATGGTTAGACTAATTAGTCATGTCCCCAGGTGTCCCTGTACAGGCACCGTCAGCTATGGGAAAGTGGAGCAAATGCTGTTTAATCTGCCTCCCAGGCCTGTTGGCAGTAAAGGTTGAAGAACCGATAGTCAGCTCTGGCACCGTCCACACTGGCTCAGAGACCAGGGCTGCCCTTGCCCTGGAGGATTAGTAGCCATTTCAGATCCAAGTATCAGAGGGCACTGTGTTTGTGTGTTAGCAGAGTCAGTTTATTTTGAAAAGGAATCCCCTAAGCCTGCTTCCTGTTCCTTTCAGGGTGTCATAGTTCCAAACATCAAAGAATGTCTCTTGCCACCAGCCTCAGATCTCTCTCCCCTGCTAGAGAATTCTTCCCTCCCTACCTCTGCTCCAGCCCCAGGCTGTTATTGCATTCCCAAGTGTTCCATTAGAAACACTTAAACTGCTACAGGGAAAGTGGCAATTTCTGGTTTGTAGTAACCCAGCAACAGTTTCTTAGCACTGGTGCCCTGAACAGCGAACTGCCTTCCCTGGGGTAATCCTGGGGTGCTTGTGGGACCTCTCCCCACCCCCTGTTGTTTTACAAGCTAACCTGACTTCCCCTTTTTTGTGCCTGTTAAGGGTGGGACAGGAGGAAGAGGATGCTTTGGACAAGGAGAGGAAGCTAAGGAATAGAGCTGGTTAAGCAGAAATATTGACCTAGTTCCCCACCCCCATTCCTGCCATTTTAGGGTAAATGTGCCAGTTACTATGGCAACTTGTGTTTGCACTTATCTCAGGCCTACTGACTCGTTTCTGTTGGTGCTGAATGCTGGAAAATTCTAATGCACGGGTGGTTCAAGTACCTCCACTAATCCCAGTGCTGTTGTCTGGATTTATTGTAGCAACACATTGGCGAGCCCTGGCGTTGATGGCATTTTTGTGCCGTCATTTCTCACCAATGATGAATCACAGGAAGCAGGTTGTGAGAGCTGCTCTTTATGGAATTCTAATGAGCCACTTAGAAAGCCTCCTTATCCCAGGCTGCCTCTAACTGCTAAAAGTATTGTCTTAGCTCTGCTTTGGGTTGTTTTTTTTTTTTTTATTGTTGTTGTCTGTTTTTGTTTTTTGCTTTTTCTTTTTTCTTTTAAGGAAGTTTGACATTGGTCAAGAGAAAAAGGGGTAAATAAGCTCTAGTAAGTAGTGCAGTCTTGGTATGAGCATTTCCTAAGAACTTGGGTTTTAAAAAGCATCCCCGTACTTGTAAGACCTTTCCTCTATGCCACGGCTTTCCTGTACAGGGGTAATAATTAGAGGGCTTCAGGAGAGCAGGCCGAGGGAGGGGTCAAATCCACGAGTTAACTTTGTGGGTGTTTACCTATGTTCCCCTGACTGTATTCTACTCCTACTCCAAAGGTTTCATAATCCATGCTAGCTGAGGAATTCCAAAGAGGTGCCCTGGGAGTTGCCCATTGGAAGCAGACATCAGCTTGGCACTTAAGGCCTCCCTGTCATTTTAACAAGAGCCAGTGTGCTTTTATGAACATTTATGTGTTGGTTTTATGCGTGCTACCTCCTGAACAGCTGGCCTGACTCCTCCCGATCTGACATCGCTGGTTCCCTGTCGCCTGTTCCTATCACTGGGTCTCTGCCATGGCACCAGCCCAGCGTAGTGTCTGGCACAGAGGCCCTCAGCTAATAATTGCTGAATGTATAAAAATACAGGAATAAATGCTGTGGAGCAATAAGCTCAGACTTCTTCCCAGTACCAACTATGGCAGAAAACAG